GAGGGCTTCCAGTGGCCAAGGTGGGCTCCTGGCTCTGGAGGTCCTTGGGGTCAATGGGCTCCTTCTCAGAGGGCTTCCAGTGGCCAAGGTGGGCTCCTGGCTCTGGAGGTCCTTGGGGTCAATGGGCTCCTTCTCAGAGGGCTTCCTGCGGGCCAAGGTGGGCTCCTGGCTCTGGGGGTCCTCGGGGGTCTAGGGGACTCATTGGAGGGCTTCCAGTGGGCCAAGGTGGGCTCCTGGCTCTGGGGGTCCTCGGGGGTCTATGGGCTCCTTGGAGGGCTTCCTGTGTGCCAAACTGGACTACCCCACTCTAGAAGTCCTTGGGGGTGTCTAGTGGACTCATCAGAGAGCTTCCTATGGGCCAAAGTAGGCTCACTGACTCAGGGGTCCATGGAGGTCTAGTGGGCTCATTGGAGGGCTTCCTGTGGCCGAGGTGGGCTCCCTAGCTCTGGGGGTCCTCGGGAGTCTAGGGAACTCATCAGAGGGCTTCCTGTGGCCGAGGTGGGCTCCCTGGCTCTGGGGGTCCTCAGGGGTCTAGCCTCTTCCAGCCTCAGAAACCCAATGGTTTCCATAGTCTCGGGGTTCCTACTAGTCCCCCGTTTCTGGGAGTTAGAAACAGAAGATGCCCTTTGGCCTTTCTGACTGGCCCGGCCTCGCTGTGTTTACTGCCCGAGCGGCGTCCCCTCTGTCGTTGCTTCGCTCTTGGGTACCGATGCCCTGCTGCGTCCCCGTGCTTTGATTTGATGGTGGTGGTTACCTCTCACCACACAGACGCTGGCCAAGAAGATGACTGTCCTGTACAAGCTGGCCCGAGAGCAGCTGTCCAAGCAGCACCACTATGATTTTGGCCTCCGGGCCCTGAAGTCGGTGCTGGTGATGGCGGGGGAGCTGAAGCGGGGTTCCTCGGACCTCAGGGAGGTAGGGCGCCTGCACATCCTTCGGCGCCTGCACATCCTTCGGCCCCTGGTTCTGGTGGATTCGGGAAACGCTGGGATCATGGTCTCGGGCCAGCAGGTCACACTTGGGGCACCTTTAAGTCTGAGCTGACACCATGTGTCATTGTCTGCTCTTTGTTCAGCCTCTTACCTATGGGATTGGTTTCTTTAATTGGACGGAACTCCCTCAGGTCAAGTTCAGTGACCTCCCTCTGGTACTGAAGGTCATGGTGCTCCAGTGTTTGTAGTAACACTGCAATCTCAGAACAGTGGGTGCATAGCATCCTCTCTCCAGTGCTTGGAATGGCATTATAATCACAGAACTATGGGGTACAGGAGTGGGGTGCACAGCATCCTCCCAGGACCACAACCAGGAGGGTCTGTGGTGGTTTCCTTTTTTCTTCACTTTGCACTAGAACCAGCAGGAGACTCACTCTTCATCCACACGGCTCCAGGGAGGTGGCGGTGCGGGCGGCAGGCCAGGGTTTGCTGTCCTCTCCTGTTTTACGGGAGGGGTCCACACTCTGCCCGGTCCTGCTAGGGGCCTGTGTGAACGGCACGCTCCCTCTCCTAGGACGTGGTGCTGATGCGGGCCCTGCGTGACATGAACCTGCCCAAGTTCGTGTTTGAAGACGTCCCTCTCTTCCTCGGCCTCATTTCCGACTTGTTCCCGGGGCTCGACTGCCCTCGCGTTCGCTACCCCGACTTCAACGACGCTGTGGAGCAGGTGTTGGCGGAGAACGGCTACATCGTCTTACCTGTGCAGGTGAGATGGGCTGAAACCCAGAGGTCACTGTGATGGCTTGGGGGCTGGGGCGGTTGGAAGGCCCCAGATATTTTGAGGAGGACGGTGGTCTTCTCTTGCAAAGATTTGTTATTGTTGTTATGTGCCGTTGAGTCGCTTGCAACTCATAGTGACCCTATGTACAACAGCCCTAAACTCTGCTCTGTCCTGTGCCAATCGCACTGTCTCTGACACTCCCATCCCGATTACCCCAGTCACTGAATCAATCCACCTCATAGAGGGCCTTCCCCTCCTGTGCTGTCCCTCCACCCTCCCAAGCATGATGTCCCTCTCCAAGGACCTGTCCCTCCTTACAATATGTCCAAAGTATGTCAGACAAAGCCCCAGAATCCTTGACTCCAAGGAGCAGCCCGGCTTCACCCTTTCCAGGATGAACCTGTTTGTTCTCTTAGCAGTCCATGGTACATTCAATACTCTTCTCCAACATCACAGCTCAAAGGCATCAATTCTCCTTCTATCCTCCTTAGTCATTGTTCAACTCTCTGACACATAGCAAGTGATTGCAAAGACCATGGCCTGTATCAGAGGCACCTTGGTCTCCAGAGAGACACCATTGCTCTTCAGTACTTTGGAGAGGTCCCTAGCAAAGATTTACAGCCTCAGAAATCCAATACAGGGCCCCTGTGAGCTGGACTGAATGGCAGCGAGGGTAGAGGGCTAACAGGAAGCTGCCGTCGTCACCATTCCTAAGTGTTTAATTCAGCGACATAAAGTACAATCACCATGTTGTGACCCACTGCCTGTTTGCAAAACTTTCCTATCACTCAAGAGACTCTGTGCCCTTGAACAGAGACTCCTCACATCCCTGGCCCTTCTCCCCTGATCCCTGGTAATCACCCATGAGTGTTTATCTAACTCTGCAGCCACTGTGACAGCCTGGAGCGTCCCTAGTGAGTTAAACATGGAGTTAAAGTTCCACCTGGTGACGTGGCTTGAGATAAGGACCCAAGAGAACAGAAAACACCAGAACTTGTACACAAATGTGCATCGCAAGACTTCACACAACAGACAAAACGGGGACAACTCCAGGGTCCTGCAGCCGGTGATGGCACAACACCTGGTCCATCTGTTCGGTGAAACGCTGTTGACGGCCGCTGGGTGGGATGTACAGGAACAGGACAGAACTTTCTCAGAGGGTTTCCAAGGCTGCACTGGTTACAGAAGAAGTAGACCGCCACACGCCCCTGGTACAGCACGGCTCGGGGGCTTCTCACCGCTGACCTTGAAACTCGCGTCAGAGCTCAGCTCCAGCACCAGCGGTTGTTCTTCATAAAACACGACTCGGCTAGAGAAGAGCGTAACGTTCTGACACAGAGTGGGCGGAGCTTGAGGACATGACGCCGAGTGAGAGCGGACAGTCACAGAGGCCTCATGTTGGACAAGTCCGCTGTATGGACAGTCCAGAGCAGGCAAACCCACGGGGGACAGGAAGCCCATTAGTGGTCACCAGGGCTGAGGGAGACAGGGAGGTCAGGGGAGCGTGGGGACACACACAGGGTACCTTTGCAGGGTGATCAGAATTCTTTGTAAAATTGATGGATGATGGGTGCACACTCAGCATATGCTAAGAACCAACCATTGAAATGGACCCTGGAAACGAGAATTCTACCTCAGTAAGACCACAGCTTTCTACATAAAGGTAAACCACAATTTCAAGTCCTCAACTGGACCAGAGGGCAGCAACCTGATAAATGCAGAAAAGGGGGAAGCTGTCAAGGATTTTTTCCCCTTTTTTCTTTTTTAAGGATTTTATTTTTACTTCACAGTCAAAGGCTTGGTGGGTAATCGAACACATTGCATTGGACAAATCTGCTGTTAGGAATATTTTCGAAGCATTTACGAGCAAGGATGTAACATTGAAGACTAAGGTGTGCCTGGTCCAAGTTATGATAGCTGGAAGATCAAAAATGATCCCCTTGAATTTTGGTGTTGGTTATGAGGGTTAATATTAGACAGTAAACTGGCAAAGGAACAGAGAGATCTGATTAGGAAGAAGTACAAGTCAGAGCGCTTCTCAGAAGCAAAGATGATGGGACTTTGTCTCAGCTGCTTTGGTCATGGTGTCCAGAGGGACCAGTCCCTGAAGAAGGGCTTCATGCTGGGCCAAGCAGAGGGTCACCAGCCAGAGGGGAAGAACCTCCACAAGATGGACTGACACTGTAAACGTGCAGCTGGGCCCAAGCCAGTGGTGTCTGTGAGGGAGGCGCTGACGTGGGCACTGGCCTGGTTTAATTCTGCCGTCGTGTTTGTGGGGATGGCGTCGGGGCGGGCATGGTTTCATTTCGCTGTTCTTGAGGTCATCGTGAGCCGGCAGCGCCTGCCAACAGAGCTGTTTTAAGACAAGATGTGTTTTTGCTCTAAAGTTCATGTGGCGTATGAGTTATTATCATCTCAAGAAAACTGTCTTTCAAGAGATGTGTTTTAACCCCGTCACCTGTGCCGCCCTCCCCAGGTGGATAAAGTGGTGCAGATGTTCGAGACCATGCTGACACGTCACACAACCATGGTGGTGGGGCCCACCGGCGGCGGCAAGTCCGTGGTCATCAACACGCTGTCCCAGGCCCAGACCAAGTGAGTAAGCCCCCTTGGCCAGTGCGGCCCTGGGGCAATGCTTGCTCGTGGCTTCTCACAGTCCCCGTTAGCGGATTGCCTTCTCGGGAGTGCAGGTCTGTCCAGAACACGCCTTCCCAACTCAGGGAGTCGTTGCTAATCGAATCTAGTGAGTAGGTTAGCACTCCGTGTGTGTGCGAGAACTGTGGGCCCTGCACATACTGGACCATGAGAAGGCTGACGGTGCAGATGAGTCTTTTCTACAAAGTCCTGGAAAGCATCCAGCCTGAGTATGAGGTGATCGAGGATATCACGGCGTGGGTCAGACCCGCCTCAGTCTTCCAAGGGCCGTGTTCGCTTTTGAATGGTCCACTGTAGCAGGTCTGGCAATGATGACCTTGACCCTCCCGCTCCACGGCTGAGGCCCCTCTCTGCTTTAGGCTGGGGATTCTGACCAAGCTGTACATCCTGAACCCCAAAGCTGTGAGTGTCATCGAGCTCTACGGCATCCTGGACCCCACCACCCGGGACTGGACAGACGGGGTGCTGTCAAACATCTTCCGGGAGATCAACAAGCCGACAGATAAGAAAGAGCGAAAGTGAGTATCCGTGAGGGAGCGAGAGCCTGGGCGAGAGCCTGGGCGCTTAGTGCTGGGTGTGGTCGCCCCTGCCACGTGGTGACGCCGCACGGCACCCTGCCTGTCCCTGCTCCGTCCTCACAGTCTCTGCGTGTGTGAGCCCCTTGTAGCCACTGGCCAGTTCATCTCACTAAGCACCTTCCTCTATGCCACTGACCCTCAGCTATATCAAGCATAACGTCCTGCCCCAGGGCCGGCTCCCTCTTGATCACGTGTTGAAAGCATGTGGGTTGAGGTCTCTCCACCCTCAGTTTGTGAGACGATCTTGGTTCCCCCGGTGCTGCTAACGCAGGAAGACCTCAAGGAGATCATTAAAGCCACTCAGATTTCCACCCTCCTCCACCAGGAGTGTGTAAACCTGGATCAGGGACGCCAGAGATAGACACGCTCCCGGTTGAGGTGGCAAGAGGTACAAATGTCCAGATGCAGGGCACCCGCTCTGAGGGAATGCTCTGGTCCACGGGCTGTGGAGGAAGGTCCTCGGCTACTTTCAGTACCAGGGGCTTTAGTGTCCGTCTTCCTTGGGGTCCAGGGTTTTGCATCCTCCCCTAGTCCTCTTACAACTGTTTTTCTTTTCTTTCTCCTTTCCTTTCCTTTCCTTTCCTTTCCTTTCCTTTCCTTTCCTTTCCT